TCATTGTCAAATATTCTCATATCAAGAAAATTACCACTCGTCGACCAAAAAATGTTAAAGAATTTCCTTGCACAAATTGACATTTCACCACAAGGAGTATCTGCAGATATTGTACTTTTAAGGTGAAATGGAAAATCTATTGATATTCTGTATTGTTGAATTTCTCGAGCCCAAAAATCATTATTGTTAATCGATTTCCTAAAAAGACCCACTTTAATTCCATCTATGTAAGATTCGGTTTCAATCATGCCAAGGCCTCCCTGCTGTATTGCGCTGTATACAGCGTTAATACTTATTTTTAAATTCCCCCGCACAAAAGAACCTATCTCGTTTCTAAGGGTTTGTATTTGAGTTTCATTGAAGGAAAGCACAGGGGCGAAATAGCCAATCTGAGAGAAAATTACTATTTATTAAAAGTCACAAAATTTCACGGTGAAAGTTTAGGCTAAAAAGTCTAAACACATTTTTTTAGAGACACCCTGTAGCTGATATATATGAAGACTGAAGAGGTATCAGAGTCAATCAGTCTTATTACATTATATATCATATATTTTTATTATAGAATATATACTGCTTTGTCGGGACCAGTAAAAGACAGAAAAAAAGAAAATACAGTTTTGTTATATTATTAAGTTTTCGCTCTTATTTTTAAAAAGATATTTAGTATTTACCATCCTGTATTCAAGTTTAAATTTCTTTACAAGCACAAAAACCCAGAGATAGAAATTAAGTTTTAGTTTGATTTATCTAAAGCTTACGACATATTGTGTTGCAAATATAACCAAGAATTTTATTTTAACAGTCCTGATGTTATTTTGAAACTGTGTAATATTTACTGTTGTAGTTTTTATGGATCTACTATTTGGGACTTGAGTTCCCAATGTGTTTCAAAATTGTATACAGCATGGAATACTGCTATTAGAATTCTTTTTAATGTACCTAGAGATACGCATAGGTACTTGATTGAAAGTATTTCACAATGTTTACATGTAAAAACTATGTTAGCTAGCAGATGTGTGTCTTTCTGAAGTTGAAGCAAGTTCTAAGCTTTGCATTAGAATTCTTTCTAATTTATGTAAAAATGACCTAAACACAGTTCTTGGCAGAAATTTATTTTGTATTGCAAATGATTGTTCTGTAAATCCTTCCGATCTTAGTAAAATGTTAGTTAAGAAACAAATGAAATATGTTGATGTCCCATCGGAACATGCATGGAAAGTTCCGGTTTTACAAGAACTTTTAAATAAAAGAATGAATAATTTATTTGTTGAAGGATTCGATGATTACGTAATAACTGAAATGATAAATATGTTATGTAGTGAGTAAAAATCAATGTTTTCTATTTGTGCGTAATTTTGCATATTTTTTCTCTTTTCTTTTGGAAACCTGTATTTTCAAAAAAATTTATTTAAACAAATTTTAACTACACCATTTATATATGTATTTATATCTTTGTGTGTGAATAAATCTTTATAATAATAATAATATAGAGATTAGAAAAACAAAGTTTGTGACAAAGACTCAATTTCTTTTATGTATGCAAATATAACAGATTCTAATGGAAGATAATCAACTACCGTTAACAATTAACCATCATTAATGGAGTACTGATTAACGCTATTCTATCGATTACAATTACAGACATAAATCTTAGGGATTTTCGAGATCAAGCATTTGCTCTCTCTGTTAAAGAAATGTACAAATGTCTTTCCCTCTACTTTAATGTTCTGCCTAAATATATCTTTAAGAGTATGAAAGAATGGGATTTATCAGCTTTTCAGTTTATTTGTCTAAATACAACTGTTTAAGGTTATTCTTGTTGAATCAGTTTTCTATGGCATATGAGAAACTGTGGTTTGTCTGTTCCAGTTCAGTGTCTGTCTGAGCAGCTTCCTCAATCTCGATATCTTTTTCAGCTGCTCCAGTTCCGTATCTATTTAGGCAGCTTCTACAACTCAATATCCCATTTAGCTGCTCCAGTTTAGTATCTATCTTGGCAGCTTTTCTAACTCGATATCTTTTTTAGCTGCTCGAATTTAGTACCTATCAAGGCAGCTTCTCCAACTCAATATCTCATTTAGCTGCTCCAGTTTAATATCTCTGACACTGGAAACTTAGCTAATACTCTAGCTGCTTCCAGAGTCTCCGCTACTTTAGTAGTTCCTACAATATGGGATGCTTCCACTACATTCCCTTTATTACCGGAGCTACTCCTGGAGTCTCTACTAGGTTAGCTGTTTGTTACTGAAGCTGTATTATTATTCATTAATTTAAAAAATAGAGTTTTGTCAGACTTGTTAAAAGACAAACAAAGGAATGTAAACATTCAAAACTATTATGTTTTTATAAAATTCAAGTTTATATTGTGAAATGAAAATTTAGTAAAATTTAAAGAACTGTTATTAAATTTTAAATTTTTAAATTTAAAGAACTGTTTTTGAATTTAAAATTTTTAAATTCAAAGAATTTTAAAATTTTAAAATAAAAGAGAAAACATGAATAACAGAAAAAAGCATGAATAAAAAAAAACATGAAAAAAAGAAAAAAAAGTTGAATAAAAGAAAAAAAAGCATGAATAAAAAAAAATAAAAAAACATGAATAAAAGAAAAAAGCATGAATAAAAAAAGCATGAATAAAAGAAAAAAAGCATTAATAAAAGAAAAAAAGAATAAATAAAAGAAAAAAGAATGAATAAAAGAAAAAAGGATAAATAAAAGAAAAAAGAATGAATAAAAGAAAAAAGAATGAATAAAAGAAAAAAGCATGGATAAAAGAAAAAAAGAATGAATAAAAGAAAAAAGAAAGAATAAAAGAATAAAGCATGAATAAAAGAAAAGAGCATGGCATGAATAGAAAAAAGTATAAATAAATGAAAAAAGCATGAATAAAAGAAAAAAGCATGAATAAAAGAAGAAAGCAGGAATAAAATAAAAAAGCATGATTAAAAGAAGAAAGCATGAATAAATGAAAAGAAGTACCAATAAAAGAAAAAAAGCATGAATACAAGAAAAAGCATGAATAAAAGAAAAAAAGCAAGAATAAAAAAAAAATCACGAATATAAAAAAGAAAAAAAGAAAATTTGAAATTTGTTTAAAAAAACAAAATATTTATTAACAATATAAGGATAGACATCACAATATTAAATGGTTTGAAAGCCTAATAAATCTAACTAATAGAGGAAGTTTTTTACAGTGAATTGGTTTCACTAGAGTCATACTTGGAACTGACAATTGAATCAATTAATGGAAAAAAAGTCAAAACAGAATTTAACTTTTGATTTTAAATCTGCTTATACACACTCCTTCATAATAAGGTTTCCAGCGTGATGGAAAAATAGCGCAAATGGCGTATTTTTCCACATTCCTTCCTTAGAAAAAACTCGCAAAGTTACAATTTATTTTCGCGTAATTCCGCGTAAATTTATGACGGGCAAAATGGCGGAATGAGTTTGACGCAAATCCCCCGGAGAAAATGGCGTTAAAAAATTATAAATAATGATGAAGTATCGGTGACTCCAATTAATTTAAAACCTGAACAAAAAACTTCCCCCACTAATTGTGAATAAAGGTTACAACTGGTTTTATGAAAGCATTTAAATAAAGTGAAATTTTATCTCATAACTAACATGAAGAAATTTGGTTTCAAAATCAAATTTTAAAATTATTGAATTTGATAAAAAAATGAAATTAGGCCTTTATTAACATGAAGACGACTTTTTTGAAAGCTGAAGATTGTTAACATGAAGTGTTACAAGCGCATATATTAATTTTAAAAGTGTTTAAATATATTTACAAATTTTTATTTTTTGCCAAATAGATAAATAGAGAAATAATGAAAAGTATTCACATTTAGTTAATTTTTCCATTGCAAGCTGATTGCGCTAAGTTTTATAAAAGCATAATGTTTAAATTGAATTAATATTTTTGATGGATTTACAACATTTATTTTTACAGATTTACTAAAGATACAGAGATCATGAATACACATTAGTAGAATACAAACTTTTTAAAACTAATTCCGCACATTTCTATTTAAATTCTTAGTTGCTGTTTTTTAACCTATTTTAGAAAAAAGACAATCTTTAAAAGTTACCCCCTCCCTTTTATTAGAAAACTGAATTAAAATGACCAAATTTATGCTTAAAAATCTAAAGAGGAACTGGCAAAGCTCCAGACTAAGGAACATATGGGCATGACCACTGACCAGTGCAGTAGCTCGATATAATCTTTGCAAGTACTGTTCATGAATCATGGTTATGTCCTTATGCTCTCTGTGTACAACCGTAGAAGTGATTTAACAAATGCAACTGATTCAAATTGGCGGATGCAAATGCGTGAAATGCCGAGTTTGATTTTCACAATTTTTCGGCAAAGTAAGAAAAGAAAGGCGAAACAAATAATCCAAATGTGCAGTGCACATTCCAGCTATGTTAGATTTTCTCTCGCGCATTTGCAAATGTTGAATTTTTGAAGCAGTTTCTACATTGGTATTACAAAACTGGTAACAACCTTTCTGCTCTGACAGCTGCAGATACAGAGATGCTGATAGCTGTCCAGTAAGATATTGATAACAGCTGTAAAATTAGACATAGCTGACAACTGTGCAGTTTTATATTGCTGATAGCTGAGAAGCTAGATATCGTTGACAGCTGTGTAGTGAGATATCGCTGACAGCTGTGTAATTAGATTTAGCTGAAAACTGTAAATTTATATATCATTGACAGCTGTGTAGTTAGATGTCAATGACAACTGTAGGTAGCTATTGGCAATAGCTAGATTCGTTTTAGATAAACTTTTAATACTTTTAGACTTTTAAAAGGTTTTATGACACTCTGAGAAGGTCCCAACATTTTAAAATTGTATTCTGTAGAAGTTTGCTTTTATCAAACATGCAAATTTGTTATCCTAGGTGAAAATATAAGGCAAACTCGAACCCAAACTAGTTTTAAAAACATATATTTTCCTATAGGGTAACAAATTTGAATTTTTGATTAAAGCAAACTTCATACAGAATATAGTTTTAAATATTGGGACCTTCTCGCATTGTCGTAAAACCTTTTAAAAGTCTAAAACCCTTTCTGTAAAGCGAATCTAGCAATGCCAATTCCTAACTGTAAGTTGGATAATGCTGAGAGCTGTGTAGAAAGATATTACTGACATCTGTAAAGTTCGATATCGCTGACAGCTGTTAAGTCAGATATCGCTGACAATTGTGTAGTTACTAGTTAGTAATCTCTGAATGCCGGTAATTTGATATATCAGATAGCTGGGTAGTTTGATATCTCAGATAGCGGGGTAGTTTGCTATCTTTGACAACTGATATCGCTGACAGCTGTGAAGTTATATATCGCTGTCACATTCGTCTGGGTTAAAATGTCCAAGGACATTTGTTCTAAAACATAAATAAGTTTAAAGGGAGTGTTTGTAGTAAAAAATTACAAGGGGTCCAGGATTGCCATTTTCAAAGTTATGAATCAGTTGAAATCATAATTTTTTAAGGTCCCTCTAAAAAATAATAAAATTTAAACTCCATGGACCCCTTTATTGATCATTTTTTTGACTTATGGGCCTTTTTTCCTTTACATATTTATATACGTAAACATAAATATGGACAAATATATCCCCCCCCCCCCCC